GTGTTATAGACATCCCTCGAATGTCATGTGGTCGTGTTATAGACATCCCTCGAGTGTCATGTGGTCGTGTTATAGACATCCCTCGAGTGTCATGTGGTCGTGTTATAGACATCCCTCGAGTGTCATGTGGTCGTGTTATAGACATCCCTCGAATGTCATGTGGTCGTGTTATAGACATCCCTCGAGTGTCATGCAATCCTGTTATAGACAACCCTTGCGTGTCACACAGTCATGTTATAGACAACCCTTGCGTGTCACACAGTCATGTTATAGACATCCCTTGCGTGTCATGCAGTCATGTTGAATACAGCCCCTGCCTGCAATGCAGTCGTGTTATTAACTGTCATTGACTCACTACAGCCAAGCAGTGTTGTAACCTTGTCGTGTTATGCAGGTTCATGCAATACATACTGGGCGGCAATAAGACGCATGACTCTTGTGTTGTCGTCACTCGTCTCGTCTACTGAACATCCCCAGTTCTCAGAACGGGCGTCTACTGAACTGACGAGGAAGTCCTGGAACTACAGCAGCATGGCCTGATGACCCTGTGAACAAGGTAGTGAATTTACATGGCTACTGCCATGAACTGGGTCGACCTGGCTACCATCACCGACACACAGTTAACACATATTCCGAAAACGAAAAAAATTAAGAAGGAAAAAATAAATCTGCTTTGATTAAATAAACATTCGTGATTTTTTGCGGAAAATGTCAGCGATGACCCCCCTGCAGTAACCTACAAGCATGGTTATGTAATTCTGTGCATATGAGGTATGAACTTATGACTCCATGGCAGCACGCACACTTGTGATTCACCCTCCCGCAACTGTTGAAAGTTGAACACATTGTGTACAAGTGGTCAGCTAGCATGTGCATGACCGTCATATGCATGTCAATGTGCATGTCCGTCACGAGTAGGTCAAGTAAGCTCTATATAAGTGGGTATTTGTCTTACGCTCAATTTGGGAATACCCCAGTCATAGCGCGGCGCGGAGGCCACAGTGTATCTATATGGAGAATCGAACCCGGGTCTTTGGCATGACGAACGAAAACATCCACTGTACTACCTAATCGCCTCTGGTTATATGTCAGAGAAACACATGGTTGTGGAAGCTGTATCAGACGCCAGAGAGCCTTATTCAATATCTTACAGGGGACGTTTACCCGATACCCGATATATTACCGGATCCGCTTGCACAAAGCGATCTTAGCGCTAAGATGGTCGTAACAACCGGGCTTTAACATAGGCTCGCGATAGTCGTAGCTCCAAGAGAGCTTTGTGCACATGGATCCAGATATGTAATGTCTAAAGCTACAGTGGGGATTCCTGGTCCAGATGGGTCCACGGGATCATTATGCGTGTGTTAGAGCCGACCAGAATAGGGATTGGGTGCTCATGGTCTGTGACTTGACTGTGTGTCATTTTACGCTGTTATTGCGGGGTCGTCGCTCATGCTATCAACCACTGGTCTGTCTGGTCCAGACACATCTCAGATAATGTACAGACCTCTGTGGTATGCCTGAAATACTGACGTCAGGCGTAAAACAACATCCACCCACATATATAAAAAGAAAAATCACTGCAACCAAATGGATACATATATTTGAAGGCAATTGCAGTTTGTTAAAACGATTTGGTTTGTTGTTTTACGCCGCACTCAGCAATAGTCCAGCTATATGACTGCAGTCTGTAAATAATCGAGTCTGGACCAGACAATCCAGTGATTTACATCATGAACATCGATCCACGCAATTGGGATCGATGACATGCATCAACCAAGTCAGCGAGCCTGACCACTCGATCCCGTTAGTCGCCTTTTACGGCAAGCATGGGTTGCTGAAGACCTATTCTACCCCGGATCTTCACGGGTCTTGCGAAAACGAAAAACGAAACGAATTAGTCAGGTGTTGTATCTCCTCCGTAGATTATACAATAAAAAGCGAGACCAATAACAAAATACTGGAAAGAAATCGGTAAGACGATGCCTTAAAATGATACAACAGTCCCAGAGAACGCTTGATTCGTGGTATAAACACTTGGGTCCTTTTCACTAATAAATTATTTAATATAATCAGACATTCAAAATATCCTAAATTAATACAGCCGAATCACGATGACACCACAGTTAACAAGTGATCTACCATCTATAATTCATTCAAAGAAATTCCTCATCGACCTTGACCTTTAAGCTATAAAATGACCCTTAGGTGCTCCTCAAACTCAAAACAGGGGATTTACGATGCCCCTAAATTATGCCAAGGGCCATTGAATATTGGACAAACACCCACTAGCCTCCGACTGAAAGCGGCTAGGTACCCGCTGCAAAGTTCCCCTTGAGAATAATTAGGGTGAAATCCTGCCTCTGCCTTCTGCTAACCAGAGAGTTTACTGGATCATTTTCATCGGGTAGATTGCACGGACTACAACGCTGCATAAGTAGCTGTTGGGATAGTATTATGAACGGGAAAGTGATCTTAAACCCTTTAATTGACTCAAACAATACAGGCTAAGCACCGGGAGTACTGTATGAGTATGGCAAGTTCTCTCTAGGGGTCTTTTATTTGCTCTCCCGTGTGACCCTTACGGCGAAGCGCGTCTGTCATTCATCCGCAAGTTGTACAGTTTGGTAAACATTCTTTAGACTTTTGTGACAGTTATCACAAGTTGATGTACCTGAGTGTACATCAAAATATCAGATCAGGTGTGAATGGCTTGCAAGCAGGTGCGAGGTTTCTTTCGGAAGCTCGGACTTATTTCCGTCACTCAGAGGGGATTACCGTTAGCCGAGGGAACTCTCTCTGATGAAAATTAAGAATTTAATGAGATGTTGAAATTGTCCGGTGTTGTTAAATGCTGTTCTTTTTCTCACATATGCTTGGAGGATTACCTAAAAGTATTGTTATTATTATTATCATTATGTTAACAAGAACATTCGATAACAAATAAATGGTATCTTTAAGAGTAAAGGAAAATAAATGTATCGGGCTGCGAAAAACTTTATAGAATCAGGCTACAGGAAAACAAAGAAATAAGCTTGTCTGGAGCAATATAGCCTGGGCTATGCTTGCATTGACTAGTCGTGTAGAGAGCTGCTGGTAGGTGTACAGGGAAAAGTAGCAGTGGGGGCAGATATGCGTCCTTTATGTGTGTCAGAAACCTATGATTGTGGGTTCGAATCCCAGAGTCGCCCCGATTATGTTTCTAGGTTTGTCAGCACCATACCCGTGCTCGTGGGTTCGCCAAAGTGTAAACGTCTGAGACCTTCATCACTTCGGGCTTTCCTCCCACATCAAGATGACACGCCGTGATATGACTGCAACACAGCTCAATACGGCCTTGATTGAAATTCACTCACTTACACATAACACAAGTTTCACTTTTTGATAGTATAATAAATGTAATTTTAAACTTAAAATAAATTTTATCTTTAGATACAAGCGAAACGTATAACTTGTATTTTCGCTTGATTGCTAAGATGTACGAGTACGGCTTCGCCAGCGTATAATGTTGCAGGACTGACACGATTCTTCGTATTATCCATTCTTGGCGACAATATAACACCCATCATGCAATACGCGATTTTACTTCTTTTGCTTCACTGCAAAATAATATATCTGACAGACAGAGCAACGGTTTTATGATAAACGTACGTACGAGCTTGTACAGAAGGACACACAGCCAGGTCCCGTGTATCTGTATCGTGGGTAGAAGTGTTTCGCAACACCCTACATAGATCTGTGCTGACTAAGGGGTACATTTACAAAGGTGTTAGATATAATGCTTTGGGGCAAATTATGTAAAATGTCCTTGTTAAGAGAAGTACAACTAACTTGCGAATCATCTAGCCCTGAAAGTGAGGATTAGACTAAAGCAATTGGACGGTTCTCGCAAGTTTGACAAAATGAATAGAGTCATATCAAGTTTTAAGGAAAAAATGCAAACATATTGTTTTATGTTTGTAAATCAAGGATCGTTCCACAAAGCAATCTCAGTTTTACGACGATCGTAAGTCTGTGTAAGATAATTGTAGGCCCAACACAGGTAACAGTACATTGATTGGGCGAAGATTGCTTTGAGGTGCTAGCGGCCAAAACCGGACTATATGCGTATATTTTATGAACGCTTCAATATATTTACTTAGGCGATTATTTTAGATAACAATAATAGTTCACATCTGTAGCTCAGTGCGCAGAGTTCCAAAAAACCGTAACACCCGTGCAAATACTTTTATTCACCTGATGAAGGAGTAAGTATATGTTCCTCATGATAAAGAAGTTGACATCCATAAATTCTCTTCCTTATGTGTATCACTTCTAGATGCCTTTCAAAGACTTAAATTCAAAGGTGATGATATCGCGAGCAAAATGGTTAATTCTTGAAGAGCGCCTTTTGCAATGTTTTCACTTCTGCATGTAATATTCCTTATCGCCGGAATGACTTGTTTTCACCTTAGAAGTATAAGAACACTTGCAGCTATCTTCGTTAATTAATGATCGCGATATGTTGTGCTCATTCATATATAGGTGGGTTTTTTTATTCAAAACTATTTCACGTGGATTTTTGGCTGGAAATAATTTGGCAATAGTGGATCCTCGATTATCTTTCATTCAATATTTAAATGATTGAATTGCGTGCTCTTTAGAAACATGAATATATACTACTTTAATTGCTTTTAAGCGCTTCGGGGTAATATCACATGTTAGCTTGTCATTGTTAATATAAATTGAAAATATCCTCTCCTACTGGAATTTGTAGCTCTGTACACAAGTAAACTTTTAAAATAACCCATCAAAGTAGGTAAGTTTTGAATATGATTATCGAAACAGTAGATACATATATTTGCACAAAATTGAATATCAATAATATCAATATTACATTAATATGTGTATTAATATGTCGATAAAGAAAATCAGTAGATCGATCCATATTTATTTATGAATGTCATATGTTTTCTGTTCTTTGTCGCAGGAACGAACGGAAACCAATCTTTGACGACGACTACAGCTATAACCAGAGGGCGCTTTGCATTTTTGCCTCCGAAATCAGCCTTGCGTCGAGGGTCGATACCTCACGTGCCTCTGACGCATCTATTTCCATTTTTAGATGAAGTGAGAGTTAGCTCCCTTTAACCGTATTGACTTCCGGGAAACAAGGCTTCAGGAAAAGGAAAGATACGGTCTGTTAAACATAAACATACACCTAACAGACACTGTTGGGAAAAATGCACGATAATCATGTATTATTATAAACAATGGGTAGATCTAGTATTGTGGTTGTCACAAACTGAAATGTCTCTCATTCGCAGGGGCAAGAGATCACCATAATATTAACTGTTGATAAGAGGCCTAGATGATATTGACAATACAATAAACACTTCAACTGTGAGTGTTGCCACTGTCAGTGTTGAACGCACACCGGTGCGATTATAGAATCTGTTCCCCACCCATTTGTATCATAAAAAAAACTATATCTCAGGAAAAAAATATTTGACACCAGATTAGCCTCTGCAGGCAAGTTCGATACTGCATCAGTCATCACATTATGACATCCTATTATTTGCATATCAAATTCTAAATTGTTGAATCTACTGAGTAGTAGCCTGCAACCTCGGGGTATCGCGGTAATTGTCATGTACGCTAACGGAACAAAATGCACTCACTAACCTTTATGATTATTCGTGTTCTCTATAGGCCTATCAGATATCATGTATTTTATCAAACAATGCATATTGTACTGATAAAAGTTCATTATTTACATTAGTAGCTCCGAGTAAAAGCCGGGCCTTGCTCCGTTTGACAAGGGAGAGAACTCCATCGTATCGCGGTAGTGAGAAAAGTTGTGTATGGAGGTCCGAATTGGACAAAAAGAGGACATAATTCTACCAACCACTTGGTATGATCATGCCAGACATCAGTGATTTGTCCAGACAAGTGCAAAGACAGCACAAGTAAAATTCTAAATGTGTTATCAGCAAAAGGTATTCAATGCATTTTTACTGAAAAGTAAGAGAAAAATATTTTTATAAGTCAACAACAAAATATCAGAAATGATATTTTAAGATTGTTTAAAAAAAATTGGATGACAATAATTTGTCACAAAATGGAAAAATGTTAAAAGTCAACAATAAATATATAAAAAGCACTCCTAGTATGCCCAAAGTATGTATTTATCTTTTGGTTACTAGTGAAGAACGTATTTCTAAGTTTGACATTATAGCCCTTATGATCTCCCAATAGACTCTGGGCACAGAGCGGGAAAAAATGTACGGACTACGTAACTTCCGTTACCTCATTAGTCGCCATGAATATGCAGATGATCTAGTTCAGGTCGATAGAGAAAGTTTACTTGGGGAACTGCGGGTTATATCGTTGGCCATTGATAGATGGGGGTAAGGCAATATTACAACAGATGCCAGAAATATGTATCAACGGATTAATAACTCCTTACTTACAGCAGACGGAACATTCCGAGGAAACTGAAATTATTTACTAAGTGAGCACTTCCTGGTTACTGATTTGCATTAATAGATAGCCGCTAAGAGGCGTGTCCCGCGTGAACTATCGGAAATCACAAATGCCGCGATACGATGAATGCCGCGGTACCACGGGGTCCGAGTATACTACTGATCTAGAGGGTTAAAAAGACCCTCAGTTTCAGTTTCAGTTTGTCAGAAGTTTCACACAAGACACTAATTGTAGAGCCTAGGCATGGACCACGCTGCGAATAATACTCACCATGACATGCTCAATGACAAACTAATCGTGTTAGCATGGCTGGTGAATGCTGCATCATATTATATAATGTGATGCAAAAAAGATTTCAGGAAACAATCCTGCAATTTTTTTTAAGTTTTCCACAACCATGTATTCTCCAGCAGCAGTTCACATTTCTACGACCCATGAAGATCTCGGTTACAACCGGTCCTCAGCAACCCATCCTTGTCATAAGAGGCGTCACCGGGTCTGGTGGTCAGACTCGCTGACTTGGTTGAGGCATGTCGTATCCCAGTTGCATGGATCGATGCTGATGATGTCAATCATTGGATTATCTGGTCCAGACTTGATTATTTACAGACTGCCATGATATTGTTAGCTGGAATATTGCTGAGTGTGCCGTTAAACAAGAAACAAAATTTAAAGTGATAACACATAAATAACTGTAGAAAGTATTTCTACATTACTACTCTTAGTTTCTGTGAAGTGTACAGAAGTCCAAGGTTTTAAATAAAAAACAGTGATTTAGAAGTCCTTCAGCATGATGACATTCATCTTTGCCTAATGAAGTTCCCTCTTTGCTTTTCTTCATGCAGTCAAGTTGCACATGAAGTACCCACCAGTAGATTATCGGGTGTAAGGCCAGGTTCACACAAGCTGATTGTGGCTCCCGTTTGAGATCGGACAGCGCTACGACACGAAAAGTGAAAAAGTCGTATTTCTATCCTCAATGATCTGGAATGTCCTATCATTGTCTGAACGCAGTCATATACATTCGTAACAGAGTCCTACGGATCCGGAAAGGTCCTGAGAGGTCGACACAGCACTCCCGACATTATGGTGCGTCCCGTAACTTTCGGGAAACTCAGCCTGTTTTGTCGTTTCTTGTCGATCGAGTCCAGATTGCGTCCAGATCTTGCCGAATGTGAACCGTCTTTGTCGGTTCACTGTCCAGTCACTGTCTGATCTCTGTCGAATTGCATTCCGGAGAATCGGGATGCTGTCGGGACAGATTCGGTCTTTTTTTACCATTCGAAGGATACAAATCGGATAAGCTTCGGATTGAGAGCAGGACAATCGGGACGAATTCGGCTGGAAACGGCTGAATCAGGACGCTTCTTGAACAATATCTGATTGTTTGTGAATTTCCCGCCATGAATCACAGGATCTTGATCAGACTTTTGACAAATATTAATCTGGAATGGTCCTATCCAGGGAGGCAGTAAAAATCCTGAATGTGTGACTGAGCCCTAATGCTGACATTGTACCCCTCTTTCAGCTGACACCAGATTGCAGTCATGTCAACTGATGGTCCTGATGAGCTGCCGGGATGGTTGAACTACACACCAGAGGATCAACTTGAGAAGCCTGTGGATACTGATGTCACAGGTAGGGATATCATTGTGTATCATGATTTGTGATGCATCAATAAATTGTGAATGTCGAAACTTAATCGATACAAACCTATGAATATTGATACAATATTAATAAAATCACTCCGAATGGAATGTTTTCATTTTTTAAGATTACCATGTTTATGATGGACAGTGAGAAGGCAGAAAATACAATTTTTAACATTTAATTGATCAGCCTAGTTCGTACTTAGCATTAAGTTATTAAATGCAGGTCTACACAAGTAATTTGTATCTTTACACACTTGTTTGTTTTGTTTGTTGTTTAACGCAACACTCAGCATTATGCCAGCTATATGACGGCCGTCTGTAAATAATTGAATCTGGTCCAGACAATCCTTTGATTGACGTCATGAGCATCAATATACACAATTGGGATATGATACGACACCTGTTACGACAAGCATGGATTGCTAAAGACCTGTTCCTACCTGAATCTTCACAGGACCTGTATATTTTCAAAATAATTAAATTAATTATTAATTATTATATCAATGGTTATCTTGATTTGTTATTGTGAAAGTCAGTATATCAATACTAAAATATCCAATCAATGTCTCAAATCATAGGTACATCATTAATAAGAATTGAGAAATAATTATAAGCTTTTATTTTTTTAACGTCAAGGGGAATAACTTTTATAAAACTGATCCAGAATTGTTCTTTGTCTTGTGTTGTTTCATAATTAAGTGGACTCTGGGGTAAGAAATAAATGGTTTTCAAATTGTTGTTTTAGTCTAAATTTGAGCTTAATGAACCAATAAATCAAGCTATAAGAAATAAAACATCCTTCTATTGACACAAACTGTTTTGATTGTCCAGGGACAATCCCACAATGGGTGACGGGGACCCTGTACCGGAATGGATCAGGGATGTTCAAGGTAGGGGAGACAACTGTGAAGCACCTGTTTGATGGCATGGCTGTCCTCCACAAGTTCATCATCAAAGACGGAAAAGTTCAGTATCAGAACAAACTCTTGGACTCGGACACCCTTACAAGAAGTCTGAAGGCAAATCGACTGGTCGTTGGTCAGTTTTCTACAGCTGCATACCCAGATCCCTGCAAGAGTATCTTTGCAAGGTATTTTGATGAGGAAGGATACACTGTAATTTAAAAAGGGTAGGCCTGTCTCTCTTCTGTGATTCATGCATTACTGTTAACATGTTCATCAAATATTTGACAAAATGAAAGAATTTACACTGCAGTACACACAAGAGCAATTTTTAAAGTGCCAGGATATAGACTGTTCTGAAGCATTGTTTCCAAACAATAGCCGATAACCCCCAAGCTTACTCCTCAAGAGAAGTTTCTGCTTCAGGGACCACAACACAGGAATTATACTACCTCAGAAAATAAGAATTACGAAGAAATTCACATTTTGAACCAAATAGTATTTGTTCCTAATTTTTCTTCCATTGCCTTAATTAGTTTGTATACCTAGATAAATCCGTGAAAATATTTAATTATTTTTAAAGTTTAAAAAGGGAGCTGCTATTTTATGTAGACACAGCCGCTAGTCCGTTAGCGTAGAGACCAGTGAAAATCTTCAGACACTAACTGATTTCTCCTACAATTTATTTATTTTTCAAAATTTACTTGAACTTCAAGCCCAAAATGAACAGCAGACTAGTTTGATCTGACTGATAGGGCCTTTCCCTTTGAATATTATTATATATGATATTGAAACAATCAACTATTATTTAAATCATGTAAATAGTAATGGTTACTTAAACTTTGCTTGGGCTTTGTAGTTATTTCATATTATATTTCTATGACATCTAGGGATTTTAAATTTTATTTTCTGATTGAAGCTTTTAAGGGTGTGCGGTATTACCGGTACACCGGTATATTGTGGTGCAAATCTTCAGCAATACATATTGCGATACGTTTCTGATTGTAGCAATATATTGTGGCAAATATGAATAAGTATATTTATGTGTTCCTAATTGATATGGAGATGGAAAATAGTATCTTTCTGATACAACTTGCCTCTGACAATCTTTTTATCAATTATCGTGTACACATCACAACTATCAAGCTCCTCACAGCAATAGCCCATTTGCGGAGCTCTACGGAGAGTATAACGAAGGCGTCACACGCTGGGAAGGAGCTTGCCCTACCATGTGACTGTATTATCTCCCTTGATCGTTGCCAGGATACCAAATGGCAGATGATTTCGACATCGTCCCAAATAAGCGAGCCAAGGCTGATGTCTTGCAACTCTTTGGCAATATATTGCAATACGTATTGCAATACAGCTTAAAGTATGGCAATATATTGCAATACAAAATCCAGGTCAATACACAGCCCTACTAGCTTTGACCCCTGGTCGGTCGGATCCATACACCTAAAAATAGAAACATATGAATACTTGACACTTTTTATCCCATGTATTTGCAGGAGTCAGGGTTGTCTTAGGAGGCTCTACAGTTCATTGACACTAATGACAGTGTGGTGTCCTTCAGCTGCTAGGTTTCCCTTGATTATATTCTATGTTCTGTTAACAGCATCAGTATCATACCTTGCTTGTGTGTTTACAACCTGCATTACTTTGGACTTGGGGCTAGAAGTTATCTGTTGTTGTAGGTGTCCAGGGCTAGAAGTTATCTGATGTTGTAGTAGCCAGGGCTAGAAGTTATCTGATGTTGTAGGTGTCCAGGGCTAGAAGTTATCTGATGTTGTAGGTGTCCAGGGCTAGAAGTTATCTGATGTTGTAGGTGTCTAGGGCTAGAAGTTATCTGATGTTGTAGAAGCCAGAGCTAGAAGTTATCTGATGTTGTAGGTGTCCAGGGCTAGAAGTTATCTGATGTTGTAGGTGTCCAGGGCTAGAAGTTATCTGATGTTGTAGGTGTCCAGGGCTAGAAGTTATCTGATGTTGTAGTAGCCAGGGCTAGAAGTTATCTGATGTTGTAGGTGTCCAGGGCTAGAAGTTATCTGATGTTGTAGGTGTCCAGGGCTAGAAGTTATCTGATGTTGTAGGTGTCCAGGGCTAGAAGTTATCTGATGTTGTAGGTGTCCAGGGCTAGAAGTTATCTGATGTTGTAGGTGTCCAGGGCTAGAAGTTATCTGATGTTGTAGGTGTCCAGGGCTAGAAGTTATCTGATGTTGTAGGTGTCCAGGGCTAGAAGTTATCTGATGTTGTAGTAGCTAGGGCTAGAAGTTATCTGATGTTGTAGGTGTCCAGGGCTAGGAGTTATCTGATGTAGGTGTCCAGGGCTAGAAGTTAGCTGATGTTGTAGGTGTCCAGGGCTAGAAGTTATCTGATGTTGTAGGTGTCCAGGGCTAGAAGTTATCTGATGTTGTAGTAGCCAGGGCTAGAAGTTATCTGATGTTGTAGTAGCCAGGGCTAGAAGTTATCTGATGTTGTAGGTGTCCAGGGCTAGAAGTTATCTGATGTTGTAGGTGTCCAGGGCTAGAAGTTATCTGATGTTGTAGGTGTCCAGGGCTAGAAGTTATCTGATGTTGTAGTAGCCAGGGCTAGAAGTTATCTGATGTTGTAGGTGTCCAGGGCTAGAAGTTATCTGATGTTGTAGGTGTCCAGGGCTAGAAGTTATCTGATGTTGTAGGTGTCCAGGGCTAGAAGTTATCTGATGTTGTAGGTGTCCAGGGCTAGAAGTTATCTGATGTTGTAGGTGTCCAGGGCTAGAAGTTATCTGATGTTGTAGGTGTCCAGGGCTAGAAGTTATCTGATGTTGTAGTAGCTAGGGCTAGAAGTTATCTGATGTTGTAGGTGTCCAGGGCTAGGAGTTATCTGATGTAGGTGTCCAGGGCTAGAAGTTATCTGATGTTGTAGGTGTCCAGGGCTAGAAGTTATCTGATGTTGTAGGTGTCCAGGGCTAGAAGTTATCTGATGTTGTAGTAGCCAGGGCTAGAAGTTATCTGATGTTGTAGTAGCCAGGGCTAGAAGTTATCTGATGTTGTAGGTGTCCAGGGCTAGAAGTTATCTGATGTTGTAGGTGTCCAGGGCTAGAAGTTATCTGATGTTGTAGGTGTCCAGGGCTAGAAGTTATCTGATGTTGTAGTAGGCAGGGCTAGAAGTTATCTGATGTTGTAGGTGTCCAGGGCTAGAAGTTATCTGATGTTGTAGGTGTCCAGGGCTAGAAGTTATCTGATGTTGTAGGTGTCCAGGGCTAGAAGTTATCTGATGTTGTAGGTGTCCAGGGCTAGAAGTTATCTGATGTTGTAGGTGTCCAGGGCTAGAAGTTATCTGATGTTGTAGTAGCTAGGGCTAGAAGTTATCTGATGTTGTAGGTGTCCAGGGTTAGGAGTTATCTGATGTAGGTGTCCAGGGCTAGAAGTTATCTGATGTTGTAGGTGTCCAGGGCTAGAAGTTAGCTGATGTTGTAGGTGTCCAGGGCTAGAAGTTATCTGATGTTGTAGGTGTCCAGGGCTAGAAGTTATCTGATGTTGTAGTAGCCAGGGCTAGAAGTTATCTGATGTTGTAGGTGTCCAGGGCTAGAAGTTATCTGATGTTGTAGGTGTCCAGGGCTAGAAGTTATCTGATGTTGTAGGTGTCCAGGGCTAGAAGTTATCTGATGTTGTAGAAGCCAGAGCTAGAAGTTATCTGATGTTGTAGGTGTCCAGGGCTAGAAGTTATCTGATGTTGTAGGTGTCCAGGGCTAGAAGTTATCTGATGTTGTAGGTGTCCAGGGCTAGAAGTTATCTGATGTTGTAGTAGCCAGGGCTAGAAGTTATCTGATGTTGTAGGTGTCCAGGGCTAGAAGTTATCTGATGTTGTAGGTGTCCAGGGCTAGAAGTTATCTGATGTTGTAGGTGTCCAGGGCTAGAAGTTATCTGATGTTGTAGGTGTCCAGGGCTAGAAGTTATCTGATGTTGTAGGTGTCCAGGGCTAGAAGTTATCTGATGTTGTAGGTGTCCAGGGCTAGAAGTTATCTGATGTTGTAGTAGCTAGGGCTAGAAGTTATCTGATGTTGTAGGTGTCCAGGGCTAGGAGTTATCTGATGTAGGTGTCCAGGGCTAGAAGTTAGCTGATGTTGTAGGTGTCCAGGGCTAGAAGTTATCTGATGTTGTAGGTGTCCAGGGCTAGAAGTTATCTGATGTTGTAGTAGCCAGGGCTAGAAGTTATCTGATGTTGTAGTAGCCAGGGCTAGAAGTTATCTGATGTTGTAGGTGTCCAGGGCTAGAAGTTATCTGATGTTGTAGGTGTCCAGGGCTAGAAGTTATCTGATGTTGTAGGTGTCCAGGGCTAGAAGTTATCTGATGTTGTAGTAGCCAGGGCTAGAAGTTATCTGATGTTGTAGGTGTCCAGGGCTAGAAGTTATCTGATGTTGTAGGTGTCCAGGGCTAGAAGTTATCTGATGTTGTAGGTGTCCAGGGCTAGAAGTTATCTGATGTTGTAGGTGTCCAGGGCTAGAAGTTATCTGATGTTGTAGGTGTCCAGGGCTAGAAGTTATCTGATGTTGTAGGTGTCCAGGGCTAGAAGTTATCTGATGTTGTAGGTGTCCAGGGCTAGAAGTTATCTGATGTTGTAGGTGTCCAGGGCTAGAAGTTATCTGATGTTGTAGGTGTCCAGGGCTAGAAGTTATCTGATGTTGTAGTAGCCAGGGCTAGAAGTTATCTGATGTTGTAGGTGTCCAGGGCTAGGAGTTATCTGATGTAGGTGTCCAGGGCTAGAAGTTATCTGATGTTGTAGGTGTCCAGGGCTAGAAGTTATCTGATGTTGTAGGTGTCCAGGGCTAGAAGTTATCTGATGTTGTAGTAGGCAGGGCTAGAAGTTATCTGATGTTGTAGGTGTCCAGGGCTAGAAGTTATCTGATGTTGTAGGTGTCCAGGGCTAGAAGTTATCTGATGTTGTAGGTGTCCAGGGCTAGAAGTTATCTGATGTTGTAGGTGTCCAGGGCTAGAAGTTATCTGATGTTGTAGGTGTCCAGGGCTAGAAGTTATCTGATGTTGTAGTAGCTAGGGCTAGAAGTTATCTGATGTTGTAGGTGTCCAGGGCTAGGAGTTATCTGATGTAGGTGTCCAGGGCTAGAAGTTATCTGATGTTGTAGGTGTCCAGGGCTAGAAGTTATCTGATGTTGTAGGTGTCCAGGGCTAGAAGTTATCTGATGTTGTAGGTGTCCAGGGCTGGAAGTTATCTGATGTTGTAGTAGCCAGGGCTAGAAGTTATCTGATGTTGTAGGTGTCCAGGGCTAGAAGTTATCTGATGTTGTAGGTGTCCAGGGCTAGAAGTTATCTGATGTTGTAGGTGTCCAGGGCTAGAAGTTATCTGATGTTGTAGGTGTCCAGGGCTAGAAGTTATCTGATGTTGTAGGTGTCCAGGGCTAGAAGTTATCTGATGTTGTAGGTGTCCAGGGCTAGAAGTTATCTGATGTTGTAGGTGTCCAGGGCTAGAAGTTATCTGATGTTGTAGTAGCTAGGGCTAGAAGTTATCTGATGTTGTAGGTGTCCAGGGCTAGAAGTTATCTGATGTAGGTGTCCAGGGCTAGAAGTTATCTGATGTTGTAGGTGTCCAGGGCTAGAAGTTATCTGATGTTGTAGGTGTCCAGGGCTAGAAGTTATCTGATGTTGTAGTAGCCAGGGCTAGAAGTTAGCTGATGTTGTAGGTGTCCAGGGCTAGAAGTTATCTGATGTTGTAGGTGTCCAGGGCTAGAAGTTATCTGATGTTGTAGGTGTCCAGGGCTAGAAGTTATCTGATGTTGTAGGTGTCCAGGGCTAGAAGTTATCTGATATTGTAGGTGTCCAGGGCTAGAAGTTATCTGATGTTGTAGTAGCCAGGGCTAGAAGTTATCTGATGTTGTAGGTGTCCAGGGCTAGAAGTTATCTGATGTAGGTGTCCAGGGCTAGAAGTTATCTGATGTTGTAGGTGTCCAGGGCTAGAAGTTATCTGATGTTGTAGGTGTCCAGGGCTAGAAGTTATCTGATGTTGTAGGTGTCCAGGGCTAGAAGTAATCTGATGTTGTAGGTGTCCAGGGCTAGAAGTTATCTGATGTTGTAGTAGCCAGGGCTAGAAGTTATCTGATGTTGTAGGTGTCCAGGGCTAGAAGTTATCTGATGTTGTAGGTGTCCAGGGCTAGAAGTTATCTGATGTTGTAGGTGTCCAGGGCTAGAAGTTATCTGATGTTGTAGGTGTCCAGGGCTAGGAGAATTAGTCTGATGTTGTAGGTGTCCAGGGCTAGAAGTTATCTGATGTTGTAGGTGTCCAGGGCTAGAAGTTATCTGATATTGTATTTGTCCAGGGCTAGGAGAATTAGTCTGATGTTGTAAGTGTCCAGGGCTAGGAGAATTAGTCTGATGTTGTAGGTGTCCAGGGCTAGGAGAATTAGTCTGATGTTGTAGATATCTCACGGCTAGGTGAATTTGTCTGATGTTGTAGGCGTCCAGGGCTAGGATTATTTGTCTGATGTAGTAGGTGTCCAGGGCTAGGAGAATTTGTCTGATGTTGTAGGTGTCCAGGGCTAGGAGAATTTGTCTGATGTTGTAGGTGTCCAGGGCTAGGATTATTTGTCTGATGTTGTAGGTGTCCAGGGCTAGAAGTTATCTGATGTTGTAGGTGTCCAGGGCTAGAAGTTATCTGATGTTGTAGGTGTCCAGGGCTAGAAGTTATCTGATGTTGTAGGTGTCCAGGGCTAGAAGTTATCTGATGTTGTAGGTGTCCAGGGCTAGAAGTTATCTGATGTTGTAGGTGTCCAGGGCTAGAAGTTATCTGATGTTGTAGGTGTCCAGGGCTAGGAGAATTAGTCTGATGTTGTATTTGTCCAGGGCTAGGAGAATTTGTCTGATGTTGTATTTGTCCAGGGCTAGGAGAATTAGTCTGATGTTGTAGATATCTCACGGCTAGGAGAATTTGTCTGATGCTGTAGGTGTCTAGGGCAAAGAGAATTTGTCTGATGTTGTAGGTGTCCCAGGGCGAGGAGAATTTGTCTGATGTTGTATTTGTCCAGGGCTAGGAGAATTTGTCTGATGTTGTAGGTATCCCAGGGCGAGGAGAATTTGTCTGATGTTGTAGGTGTCCAGGGCTAGAAGTTATCTGATGTTGTAGGTGTCCAGGGCTAGGAGAATTTGTCTGATGTTGTATTTGTCCAGGGCTAGGAGAATTTGTCTGATGCTGTAGGTGTCTAGGGCAAGGAGAATTTGTCTGATGTTGTAGGTGTCCCAGGGCGAGGAGCATTTGTCTGATGTTGTAGGTGTCCAGGGCTAGGAGAATTTGTCTGATGTTGTAGGTATCCCAGGGCGAGGAGAATTTGTCTGATGTTGTAGGTGTCCAGGGCTAGGGGAATTTGTCTGATGTTGTAGGTGTCCCAGGGCGAGGAGAATTTGTCTGATGTTGTAGGTGCCCAAGGGCGAGGAGAATTTGTCTGATGTTGTAGGTGTCCAGGGCTAGGAGAATTTGCCTGATGTTGTAGGTATCCCAGGGCGAGGAGAATTTGTTTGATGTTGTAGGTGTCCAGGGCTAGGAGAATTTGTCTGATGTTGTAGGTATCCCAGGGCGAGGAGAATTTGTCTGATGTGGTAGGTCACCTAGGGCGAGGAGAATTTGTCTGATGTTGTAGGTGTCCAGGGCTAGGAGAATTTGTCTGATGTTGTAGGTGTCCAGGGCTAGGAGAATTTGTCTGATGTTGTAGGTGTCCTAGGGGGAGGAGAATTTGTCTGATGTTGTAGGTGTCCAGGGCTAGGAGAATTTGTCTGATGTTGTAGGTGTCCCAGGGCGAGGAGAATTTGTCTGATGTTGTAGGTGTCCCAGGGCGAGGAGAATTTGTCTGATGTTGTAGGTGTCCAGGGCTAGGAGAATTTGTCTGATGTTGTAGGTGTCCAGGGCTAGGAGAATTTGTCTGATGTTGTAGGTATCCCAGGGCGAGGAGAATTTGTCTGATGTTGTAGGTGTTCCAGGGCTAGGAGAATTTGTCTGATGTTGTAGATATCTCACGGCTAGGAGAATTTATCTGATGCTGTAGGTGTACAGGGCTAGGAGAATTTGTCTGATGTTGTAGATATCTCATGGCTAGGAGAATTTGTCTGATGTTGTAGGTATCCAGGGCTAGGGGAATTTGTCTGATGTTGTATTTGTCCAGGGCTAGGAGAATTTGTCTGATGTTGTAGATATCTCACGGCTAGGAGAATTTGTCTGATGTTGTAGGTGTCCAGGGCTAGGAGAATTTGTCTGATGTTGTAGGTGTCCAGGGCTATGAGAATTAATCTGATGTTGTATTTGTCCAGGGCTAGGAGAATTTGTCTGATGTTGTATTTGTCCAGGGCTAGGAGAATTTGTCTGATGTTGTATTTGTCCAGGGCTAGGAGAATTTGTCTGATGCTGTAGGTGTCCAGGGCTAGGAGAATTTGTCTGATGTTGTAGATATCTCACGGCTAGGAGAATTTGTCTGATGTTGTAGGTGTCCAGGGCTAGGAGAATTTGTCTGATGTTGTAGATATCCCACGGCTAGGAGAATTTGTCTGATGTTGTAGGTGTCCAGGGCTAGGAGAATTTGTCTGATGTTGTAGATATCTCACGGCTAGGAGAATTTGTCTGATGTTGTAGATATCCCATGGCTAGGAGAATTTGTCTGATGTTGTAGGTGTCCAGGGCTATGAGAATTAATCTGATGTTGTATTTGTCAAGGGCTATGAGAATTTGTCAGATGCTGTAGGTGTCTAGGGCTAGGAGAATTTGAGGCTTACCTTTCCCTGTATGTAATCACTATACAGGCTGGTAAATGTTTACTTTCCTGATGCTGTGTGAAGACAGCATTACATAGTCTAGCCTTGCCTCCATACACTATTGATGACCAAGATGGCATGTGATGCCCTGAACACAATACCTACGGTGCTATCATATTTCTATTTTAAGGTTTTTCTCCTATTTCACCCCGGAAATGACCGACAACACAGCAGTGAACATCGTCCCCCATGGCGACATGCTTCTGGCTTTGACAGAGACACCATCCGTCAATATTGTTGATCCCGAGACGCTCACAAAGAAAGGATCGGTATGTGTATGCGAATGGTTTGACTCATCATTTTAGCTGAGAGACGTTTGTTCAAGCAGACATTTTATGCACATAGCAAACGAAAATAGATTTTCACAACACATCCAGTATTTTCTGAAGGGAGAGGCAATATTATTGTTTCCACTTTTTTCTGGAACAAATAATTTCTTTAAAAACAATTCCATAACCCCCCCACACCCCATATCGTATTCATCTTCTGTTTTATCTTCATGTAATATAAACCTCCAGTGACGCCATCCTATTGTTCTCCAGTTGGTTCTCATAAACAGAGATGATATAATATCCCAGGGATGTGTGTAATATAATATGTTATAACATCCCTGGGATTTTATATAAGATCCTGGGAATTTTATTTATACTTGAATGCAATCTCATTAATATCAGATCTTAGTTCTTGCTGCCGCTAAACAAAGATCTGAGGACATCCCATTACGGGTCACGTCAGAACGACCTTTCGTTAATTTTGACCGACTAATGACTGACAAGAAATCGACATAAGCCAATCAGAAGGCAGCTTTCTTGAGCTTTACGACACTGGTTTCAAACTGGCGACGACTTTCGAAACATATTTTGACGTATTCTCGATGAAAAATGTCAAAACTGATAAGAAAAACATTCTTTGAATGGCCTATAGATGGCCTAGATTGTATGGATATAATCATAAAACCCGAAACTGTCATTCGGAATACCCCGTGTTAAATATTTCGTGGTTGCATGATCAGAAAACACATTGGATGTAGTTGGATGAAAGGTCGTTCTGACATGATCTGTAATGGGATATCCTCAGATCTTTGTTTAGCGATAGCAAGAACTAAGATCTGATTTTAATGAGATTGACTTGAATGTTTCTTCCTAGAAATGTTGATAAATGTTGTTTTAAGTTTGTTATTTCGGGGTAAAAGTTAGATAAAGCCCTTACCCTCAGGTTTTTATGAGATTTAAAACCCTCTGACGCCCCTTTTATCCCTTGGATGAGGGTTTGATCCTACACCCATAGTTCCCATAGTTTTGTCCATCAGTATATATATATCTCCTTCCTAGATTCCTGTAGACAAGCTGGTTGCAGTTCATGTCGCCACGGCTCACCCTCACACAGACTCTGACGGCACCATGTACAACCTGGGCACTTCATTCAACCACAAACAAGCTTACAACATCATCAAAGTACCACCAAAAGAAAAAGGTAACTAACTGATTGACCTTGGGTTTCCTTGTGATCATAAGTGATCAGATTGTCATTTTAGTCGTATTTATTTGGAAGTATGAATGGGTCTCTTTCACAATGTCTATGGCATTCTTTATCGATGAATAAACTTCTTTTCATTATTGCATCAATTTAATGTCAGCTTGTCAAAATGCAGGTATAATTTATTGTATAATGCACTTTGCAGGGCGCTCTTTTGTCAATTAGCGCTGTGTGGAGGATCGAACTCACGTTGCCAGGTTGAAGCTAATAATGGCTAAAGAGTTAATCAAACTAGCCAACACTTTACTATAGGACCACTGGCGCTATCTCAATTAATTAGTGTTCGTTTTCCAAGTGATCAGGACCTGTTAATTTGCCTTTATGTGCATGTGCAGTTGCCAATTTCTCTGCAAAACTCGAAACTTGATAAAAATTGTATGGACTTTCCTCAAATTGATTAATTGATTTGTTAAAAGAAATGGCTTACTCATACCATAAGAAACAACTGACCCAAGGATCCTAAAGGGATGCCCAACCCTAAGGTTAAAAAAGGGGTGTTGTATTGGCAAGTGGTGCCAAACCCTCAAGATCATGAAGGGGTGTTTGATGGGACATGGGTAATCTAAGGATGCTTGATCAGAAAGAGGAACGCAACTAACACTAAGGATCAAAGAGGTATGTGAGATTGCAAGGGGAAACAGCCATCAGCTTGAGCCAAGTGCGTGGTGAACTCTGCCCGGTAAACTGCAATGTTGCCTTGTAATTATCTTAAATACCGTATTCGACCCAATAAGCTCCCAGGGCGCTTAAAATAAAGACAGAAGGGGTGTGCGCTTATTGGGACCAATTCAGAGTCAAATTGGCGTAAATTCATCAGTAAGCCTTAAGTCACAAATATCTAAAATAAACAGAATACAGTCATGCCCCGCTTATACGGACTTCAAATATCCGGAAATCTTGGTTTCCCGGACGATTTTCATTTAAAACGAAATAATTACTATATAAATATCTGGAACCGGTGGGGGGGGGGGGGGGGGGGGGGGGGCTTATTGGGACATGGGTGCTTATTGGGTCGAATACATACAGTCGAGCCTTGTGTCGAACTTACGCGATTTAGGTATATCATCGATGTCATGGTATATATCATAGCTTGAATACTATAAATCTTGAAATTAATGCAAGCGTGAATTAAATGTGAAAAATGCGAGTGGCCTTTGATCGCATTAATGAAACTTTGCATTTATGTCTGCAAAAATCAACAATAAGATGGCCTCACTGCGCTCTTTAGGTTGCAGAAATACCAATTTGAATATAAACACAAACACGGTTTATTGAGCTGCAGTTGTAACAAGTACACAATAATGTCATTCAAAGAATAGGAATTACACAATAGACATCCGGTGAGTTATCACTGCTGTGATCAAGAGTTCTTCCCACTCGTGTCAAACTAGGCATCATTGACTACTCCAGTTCAAGGTTGTTGACACCTTATCCCATACCAATCAGTGAAATCAGTGTGCACCTCTGCTTGTTACTCTGGCTTGATGAGGTGTTCACATGTTGTAAGAAGGCATCCTGTCTTTGATGTAGTTGCAACAGCCATAGTGAGGTCACTCATCTGTGTGTGAAGTAGGGCTGGGATGATACACCAACTGTCCGATCTGATATGTATCACGATACCTCACTCACGATCTGATATGTATCACGATACCTCACTCATGATCTGATATGTATCACGATACCTCACTCACGATCTGATATGTATCACGATACCTCACTCATGATCTGATATGTATCACGATACCTCACTCATGATCTGATATGTATCACGATACCTCACTCATGATCTGATATGTATCACGATACCTCACTCACGATCGGATATGTATCACGATACCTCACTCACGATCTGATATGTATCACGATACTTCACTCACAATCTGATATGTATCACGATACCTCACTCACAATCTGATATGTATCACGATACCTCACTCATGATCTGATATGTATCACGATACCTCACTCACGATCTGATATGTATCACGATACCTCACTCACGATCTGATTTGTATCACGATACTTCACTCACGATCTGATATGTATCACGATACCTCACTCATGATCTGATATGTATCACGATACCTCACTCATGATCTGATATGTATCACGATACCTCACTCATGATCTGATATGTATCACGATACCTCACTCACGATCTGATATGTATCACAATACCTCACTCACAATCTGATATGTATCACGATACCTCACTCACGATCTGATATGTATCACGATACCTCACTCACGATCTGATATGTATCACGATACCTCACTCAAGATCTGATATGTATCACGATACCTCACTCACGTTCTGATATGTATCACGATACCTCACTCACGATCGGATATGTATCACGATACCTCACTCACGATCTGATTTGTATCACGATACTTCACTCACGATCTGATATGTATCACGATACCTCACTCATGATCTGATATGTATCACGATACCTCACTCATGATCTGATATGTATCACGATACCTCACTCATGATCTGATATGTATCACGATACCTCACTCACGATCTGATATGTATCACAATACCTCACTCACAATCTGATATGTATCACGATACCTCACTCACGATCTGATATGTATCACGATACCTCACTCACGATCTGATATGTATCACGATACCTCACTCACGATCTGATATGTATCACGATACCTCACTCAAGATCTGATATGTATCACGATACCTCACTCACGTTCTGATATGTATCACGATACCTCACTCACGATCGGATATGTATCACGATACCTCACTCACGATCTGATATGTATCACGATACTTCACTCACAATCTGATATGTATCACGATACCTCACTCTCAATCTGATATGTATCACGATACCTCACTCATGATCTGATATGTATCACGATACCTCACTCACGATCTGATATGTTTCACGATACCTCACTCACAATCTGATATGTATCACAATACTTGCATGTGCTCTTAACTGTGGTGCGTAAGCCATCTTTTTCATAGGCAGGATGCCCAAATACCTGACACACTGATAATTTACATTTGGCAGTGTGAAGTATGGCACAACAAATGAAAATATGTATGTTCTCACTATTAACTTGCACTACTGATTAGTGTTTAGTGGAACAATTATTAAAGCAAACATTTAAGGTCAGAATTGATATTTTGTACTTAGTGTGCAACTGTGATCGATACTTGTTTCGAGGAGTAAAAAATCACGATCCATCGATGTATCGTCCCACCACTAGTGTGAAGTGAATCGAAAGTTGAAAGTTTGGCGAGTGGGGGACGTTATTTTCTATTTTGAACTGTTGAGGTCAACAGGGGAGTTTTATGCATAATTTGGATACATGGGACTCACAAATAAGTTTGAGACAACCGGGAATTTGGCACATCCAGCTCGACAGATCCAAGTATTAATGATGATAAATATAGAAGTAAATCTCAGGGACCGGAAGATGAATTCGAGATAACCAGGAATTTGAAACATCCAATTTTAAACAGTGTTCAAATGTAGTTGATTGATTTGATTTGAAATATGAGTAAATCAGTGTCATCGTCACTGCTTAACTTAAGAAAACAGGCCATTATTTTGAACATCTTGTCAACATGTACATCGTCAGATACAGGTTGTATTTACTTGCCAATTCTCTCGTTCCAGGGGGAGACAACCCCTTCAACCGGGCATCCCTGGTGTCGACCTTTCCCTCTCGCTGGAAGGTGAACATCGGCTACAACCACAGCTTTGGGATGTCGGAGAACTACTTTGTTGTCCTGGAACAGACTTTGGTTACCAACATCTTGAAGCTGCCTCTCATGTCTTTCGCCGGAACTGGATTTGAGAGTTGTATGTACAACTACCCTGATGAAAAGGTTAGACGACTGCTCGTTGACAACCCATGAAGATCCGGGGTAGAATAGGCAAAGCAACCCATGCTTGTCGTAAGAGGCGACTAACAGGATCGGATGGTCAGGCTCGCTGACTTGGTTGATGCATGTCATCAATCCCAATTGCGTGGATCAATGCTCGTGATGTGTATCACCAGATTGTCTGGTCCAGACTCAATTATTTACAGACCTTCGTCATATAGCTGGAATATTGCTGAGTGTGGCGTTAAACAACAAACAAACAAACAATTTCGTAGATCGATGCTTATGATGTCAATCACTGGATTGTCTGGTCCAGACTCGATTATTTTTACAGACCACCGTCATATAGCTGGAATATTGCCCAGTGCGGCGCTCAACAAACAAATAAACAAAGTCATAAGTAAAAGCCTTGGCTTCTTGTTATGTTTGATTAAACGGAACACCTTAAATTAGATAAAATAGTGATGTGTGTAAGCAGGGTATGAAACTCCCAAAAATTTCAGCCAGACCACAGGACTGGCTAGCTGAAATACTTGCCAGCCCTGACCAAAACCTGCCTGCCCACTATAATCATATGTTTCTCAGGATAAGCTAACGGGATTTCTTTTTGGTTTCTTTCTGACTGAAACGCTTATGGTTATTATTCTTAATTGATTTGGTTTACTTTTCCTGATGCTACACACTGCTATAGATGAAGTGTCAGGTAAGTATAAAAATATTGCATTTAATCACAATCTCATTAAAATCATATCTTAGTTCTCGCTGTCGCTAAACAAAGATCTGAGGACATCCTATTAAGGGTCACGTCAGAACGACCTTTCATCCAACCAATCAGAGCGTCGCTTACCAGATCATGAAAGTGACAGTCGGAATGTTGTTTCTAATCATGCAACCACGAAATATTTAACACAGGGTATTCCGAACGACAGTTACAGGTTTTATGATTATATCAATACAATGTAGGCCATCTATAAGCCATTCCAGAATATTCTTATCAGTTTTAATGTTTTTAATCGAGAATACGTCAAAATATGTTTTCGAAGCGTAGTCACCAGTTTGAAAATCGTGTCGTAAAGCTCGAGAAAGCTGCCTTCTGATTGGCTAATGTCGATTTTTTGTCGGTCATTTCATTGGTCGGTAAAAATTTCGCAAAAGTTCGTTCTGACGTGTTCCGTAATGGGATGTCCTCAGATCTTTGTTTAGCGGTAGCGAAAACTAAGATCTGATTTTAATAAGATTGATTTAATCAGAAATGCTCATTATTATCACCTGCCTCAAAGTGGGATGGGGGGGATATTGGAATTGAATTCGTTCGTCCATCCTTCTGTCTATCTTTCCTTCCGTCCGCTTCTCAAAGGGGACACATTTTTTCAAAAACTATTTAAGTCAGAGAAATGAAATTTTACACACTGATTTTACTGGTCATGACCTCCAATGAGTTCGAAATGGTGTCGCAAATGTTTTAAAGAGTTATGGCCCTTGCTCCGTGCTTTTCAACGTTGTGCATAGTGTGTGTAGTGGGCACGTGTTTTCTCAGAAACTACTGAAGTTAGCTTATGTAAGAGATACTTATCAAGAGCGAGTTATAAGGTTGCCTTTTGTGTGTATCAATTTACATTCAATCAATTTTTCTGATGACATGAAGCAGCCTTAGTGGCTATCTCTTTTTAAAGCTTTATATGACATTTTTTGATAGTTTATATTCACTACTGTACGAACAAACAAAATTCTCATGTGCCCCATGGCGGGGGATAGTGATAATGCTGTTTTCTTGCTAATTTATAAAACTGCAACTAAAGTAACCCGATATTGGAATACATCATTGCTGAAAATATAATAGATTCAGATACAATTTCTTCCGATCATTACATCAAAATACCTTCAAGTCATATTACTGGGTATTTTTTAACCAAGTCACAGGTAGATTCGGGAGAAAATGTGTGAACTGCTAATCGCCATTTCGAGCTTAGTTTACAAGACAAGAACACACGGTTAACTAAATCTTTTGCATAGAAAACAATGCCTAGCAGAACAGCAAATATGATTGAAATGGTACATCATTATGTCTGGTGATGTTTTAACACAATTTTAATATTTTCTTTGACCAAGTTTGTTATAGATCCTCTCTTCGTTCCCTTGAAGCGATATGATGTAGTTCTTGACTGCGCTTAGCCTAATATTTGAAATATCAGTGTTATGTCAGCATGTGCGCTTGAGGTGAAGCGAAGGTAATTAACTCTCCGCATTCAAGCATTTGATAAGATTGTTTGCTGGACTACGGACGTCCTCATATAAGAGCATCTGTGCTTGTGTCGTGCATCTTGAGCACTGCGAGGAGGAATGCAGCTCATGGGTGCAGCAGTGATTGTTAATGATAATCTACTGAGGCTTGTCCCTTGGTATATGGCCTCAGGTCAAATCACTCAAGTTGCAGTGACAAATTGATTCAGTTCCTTGAATTGTAGTTCAACAAGAGATCACTATATGAATTAGATCATGAATTGGTACATCCGTTTTTACCATAGGTTCTCATTCATCTTGCTCGGCGCTCAGACGGAAAGACCCTAACGACGCAGTACACCGCAGATGCCTTCTTCTGTTTCCACTTCATCAACTGCTATGAAGAGGACAGCAATCTTGTCATTGATTTTTGTGCCTTTGATGATGGGGGCGTAGTGCATGACCTTTACCTCAGTGATGTCAAGAAAGGCGTCTTAGGAAAACATTATGCCAAACTGAGGCGCTGTGTGCTACCTCTTGATGTTGAGAAGGTAATTCAGAATGTTCAGCTATACTTTCATCAGTATATCACTGGTTTATTATGTTTTATCACAATTTGCACATTTTCATTGACCAAGTTTCTTATTGATCTTCTGTTCATTCACTTTAAGCGATATGATGTAGTTTTTGACTGTGCTTAGCCTAATCATGTGTCATGTAAGCACGTGTGCTTGAGAGGAAGCGAAGGGATTTCCCCTCAGCATTCAAGCATTGTGTAAGATTGTTTACTAGACTACGTACGTCCTCAGATAAGGGCATCTGCGCATGTGTCGTGCATCTTGACCACTCTCAGGAGAAAAGCAGCAGGGCTTGCCAATGTATCAATTACACTCATGGGCGCAGCAGTGAACATAAACTGAGACCTGTACCTTTACCTAAGTGATGTCGAGAAAGGAGTCTTAGGAAAATATTACCGTATTCGACGTAATAAGCGCCCCGCTCTAATAAGCGCCCACGGCGATATTTGCTAATATATTGGCTAGTGAACAATCCCAATCAGCACCCCTTCCGATTGATCAATGTACACAAGACTTATTTATTCGTGTATAATACGCACTCGTGTGTTATATCACCCTAAATTATGGGCAATTAAATTCTTGAAAAATATATCTGTCGTATGTAAACATTTCAGGCTGTTAGCATAAAGCACGAATTTTATGATCTTTCAACTCAAAATAATATTCTAATAAGCGCCCCCTATTTCAAATTTTGAGAGCGCCCTGGGCGCTTATTACATTGAATACGGTATGCCAAATTGAGGCGCTATGTGCTTCATGTTGATGTTGAGAGGGTAATTCAGCGTGTTCAGCTATAGTTGCATCAGCACATCAGTTGGCTATGTTTTACACATAATAATTCAGAAATTATTGCAAAGTGTAACATAAAAGAGCTTCATATTGAATTGTATAACGTTCTACAGCGTTAGAGATGCATCAAAAGGGTTTCTATTTCTGAGTGAAATTGCTTTTTCATCCAAACAGGCAGAGACAGGCAAGAACCTGGTGACGCTACCGGACACGTCGGCTACAGCGGTCAAACAGCCGGACGGCTCCATCTTCTGTACCCCTGACTACATCACTGGAGGTGAGTTGTATTTGTTTGATGTAGCATTTGTTGCTTGTAGCATTAGTTATTTATAGCAACTGATGGTTGTCATGGTTGTGGCGTATGAAAGTTGCAGCAGATGATGCTTGTAACATTTGTTGGTCGATGCAAGTGATGTGTGTTTTTTTTTAAAAATGCACTTATGACAGATGTCAGTGACTTATACCTGATATGCCTCCTATGTATACCTGTGAAACGTTTTGACATGTGATCGGATCACACTGAAGGTCAAGGTCACCTGATACCTGTACATGTTTCTGATGGGAAGGAGTCAGGACAAGATGGTGATGAGGCTGCTTCTCTGTTGCATGTAACCCCTTTCTCCGGTTATTTCCAGGGGCACGGGTGGCCCAGTCGTCTAAGGCGCCGCGATTCGCTGTGCAGAGTTACATCCCTTGGGCACGCCAGAAACCTATGATTGTGGATTCGAATCCCGGTTCACCCCGATTATGTTTCTAGGTTTGTCAGCACTATACCCGTGCTCGTGGGTTTCACCGAATTGGTAAACATCCGAGACCTGCATCACTTCAGGCTTTCCTCCCACATTAGGCCGACCCGCCGTGATATAACTGGAATACTGTTAAACCCAACTCACTCACTCGCTCACTCCGGTTATTTCCAGATGCATCCAATGGCGTAATGATGGAACTACCCAGAATCAACTACGCCTTCAACACAAAGAAATACAGATATTCCTATGGAACCAGATTCTTGACAGACAAACCCATGGTAACTCACTTTGTACCATAGTTCATTGAATAGTGTAGAACAGCCTCAGAAATTAGATATTTTTTAGTCCAGTGGACCAGTGTCAACCATATGTCACTAGTCCTCAGTGTTTGTAGGTTGTCCTGCTTGAACAAGCTGAAAGAGTTTACTATGTTTACATTTTCTGTCCGTTTTATTCAGTTCCAGTTTGCAGCTAAATTAAAGCATGGAGAACAGCTATGGAATTATAGGCCACAAATGATATTAGTCAATGAGGACTACCATCATTGGATTTCGACTTGTTCTCAGCACAATTTAGTAGTCTCGGGCGGGCGGTTGCGAAGGTTGATGACATAGTGTAGCCTTGCCTCCATACGCTACCATCATTGGATTTTGACTTGTTTAGTAGACTCGGGCTAGCGGACTAGTGTGAATTGCAAAGGTTGATGACATAGTCTAATTTCGACTTGTTTAGTAGACTCGGGCTTGTGGACTAGCGTGAATTGCGAAGGTTGATGACATAGTCTAGCCTTGCCTCCATACACTACCATCATTGGATTTCGACTTGTTTAGTAGACTCGGGCTAGCGGACTAGTGTGAATTGCAAAGGTTGATGACATAGTCTAATTTCGACTTGTTTAGTAGACTCGGGCTTGTGGACTAGCGTGAATTGCGAAGGTTGATGACATAGTCTAGCCTTGCCTCCATACACTACCATCATTGGATTTCGACTTGTTTAGTAGACTCGGGCTAGCGGACTAGTGTGAATTGCAAAGGTTGATGACATAGTCTAGCCTTGCCTCCATACACTACCATCATTGGATTTCGACTTGTTTAGTAGACTTGGGCTAGCGGACTAGCGTGAATTTCGAAAGCTTGTACATGTAGATTCATGGTGTAAGCAGGCATATTTAGTAAGAAAGTCAGGGGCTTAGTTTGTGAATTTGAATTGTCATGTGCCATGACATTTTAGATTTCGGCAGTAATCTTCAACAGTAGTATGGAATGTAGGTGATGACTTAGTTTGATGATCACTAGAAAACATAATATTTGAAAGTGGTGCTTCCACAAACCAGACTAGTGTGCTTTTTCAGATACTATTTTACCTAATATGCTTAATTATTCAAAATTGAGATATACAATATTTTACAGCAAGTGCTGAAATATCTGTTTTACGTTAGACTTACTTCACATGTCATCCTCGTCCAAATTTCATTGACTTCAGCATAATCAGCATGTTTTGTGAACACACAATGCCATTTTGAAGTGGCCAAATGTTACAAATAATATATTTGGGATAACACTTTCTTAGTAAAGTAGTTTCTTGTACTTTCTTTTGGTTGAGTCCGGTCAGGGATTCGAACCCACACTGCCAGAGTGAAGCACCTAATCTCCAGCACACAAAGTCAGCAATCAAACCCACTCATCGACCGAGGCTTCCACAAAAATGAAAGTCCAACAACAATTTATACTTGTCAGATGGGTACACAAAGTACGTGATCAAGACAACCAATTGTCAGACTTTAATTTTTGTGGAAGCCCTGGTGGCTGAGTGGGTTGGATAGGTGACTTTGTGTGATGGCAATTAGGTGCCTCATTCTGGCACTGGGTTTGCTAAGAATGTGTTATCCCAAATATAACATTTCTTTCAACGTGTTTTAGTTTTCTGAAGTCACTTTATTCTGTCAGGTTTGGGCCCATGGGGATTCCACGTTACAATAGGTCCCCAGCAACCAGCTTGTCGTTAGGACGATGTAGAGGATGATCAGGCTCCTGATACCCCCAAAGCGTGCTTCATTGCTAATAATATCAGTCTCTGGATTGTCTGGTCCAAACTTGATGTGGGTTTTTTTTGCTGCCATCTTGTAGCTGGAATATTGTGAGTGCAGAGTAAACAAAAACCAAACAATACGCTCGGTTTCAGCTGACCAAGGTTGACATGAAGACGAGGACCTGTGTCCACTGGACGACAGAAGATGGAGATCAGCCTGGGGAACCGGTCTTCATAGCCAGGCCGGGGGGAACAGAGGAGGACGATGGTATGTGGCCGTCATGTTGTGTAGAATCATGTAAACATACAGGGTAGAATAAGTATCTTGTGAGGACTGCCAGGAGAACAGAGGAGGACGATGGTATGTGGCCGTCATGTTGTGTAGAATCATGTTAACATACAGGGCAGAGTAAGTATCTTGTGAGGACTGCCAGGGGGATGGAGGAGAACGATGGTATGTGGCCGTCATGTTGTGTAGAACCATGTAAACATACAGGACAGAATAAGTATCTTGTGAGGACTGCCGGGGGGAAGGGAACAGGACGATGGTATGTGGCCGTCATGTTGTGTAGAATCATGTAAACATACAGGGCAGAGTAAGTATCTTGAGAGGACTGCCGGGGGGAACAGAGGAGGACGATGGTATGTGGCCGTCATGTTGTGTAGAATCATGTTAACATACAGGGCAGAGTAAGTATCTTGTGAGGACTGCCGGCGGGGAACAGAGGAGGACGATGGTATGTGGCCGTCATGTTGTGTAGAATCATGTTAACATACAGGGCAGAGTAAGTATCTTGTGAGGACTGCCAGGAGAACAGAGGAGGACGATGGTATGTGGCCGTCATGTTGTGTAGAATCATGTTAACATACAGGGCAGAGTAAGTATCTTGTGAGGACTGCCGGGGGGAACAGAGGAGGACGATGGTATGTGGCCGTCATGTTGTGTAGAATCATGTAAACATACAGTGCAGAGTAAGTATCTTGTGAGGACTGCCAGGAGAACAGAGGAGGACGATGGTATGTGGCCGTCATGTTGTGTAGAATCATGTTAACATACAGGGCAGAGTAAGTATCTTGTGAGGACTGCCGGGGGGAAGGGAACAGGACGATGGTATGTGGCCGTCATGTTGTGTAGAATCATGTAAACATACAGTGCAGAGTAAGTATCTTGTGAGGACTGCCAGGAGAACAGAGGAGGACGATGGTATGTGGCCGTCATGTTGTGTAGAATCATGTTAACATACAGGGCAGAGTAAGTATCTTGTGAGGACTGCCGGGGGGGAACAGAGGAGGACGATGGTATGTGGCTGTCATGTTGTGTAGAATCATGTAAACATACAGGGCAGAGTAAGTATCTTGTGAGGACTGCCGGGGGGATGGAGGAGAACGATGGTATGTGGCCGTCATGTTGTGTAGAACCATGTAAACATACAGGGCAGAGTAAGTATCTTGTGAGGACTGCCGGGGGGAACAGAGGAGGACGATGGTATGTGGCCGTCATGTTGTGTTGAATCATGTAAACATACAGGGCAGAGTAAGTATCTTGTGAGGACTGCCAGGGGGAAGGGAGGAGGACGATGGTATGTGGCCATCATGTTGTGTAGAATCATGTAAACATACAGGGCAGAGTAAGTATCTTGTGAGGACTGCCGGGGGGATGGAGGAGAACGATGGTATGTGGCCGTCATGTTGTGTAGAACCATGTAAACATACAGGGCAGAGTAAGTATCTTGTGAGGACTGCCGGGGGGAACAGAGGAGGACGATGGTATGTGGCCGTCATGTTGTGTTGAATCATGTAAACATACAGGGCAGAGTAAGTATCTTGAGAGGACTGCCGGGGGGGAACAGAGGAGGACGATGGTATGTGGCCATCATGTTGTGTAGAATCATGTAAACATACCGGGCAGAATAAGTATCTTGCTTATCAGAAGGCTGGCTTTGTGTATCATCGAGTCAATGGAGGATTTTTAAGGTATCCTCTGCATTGGATGTCTTGTCCCGCTTATAACTGATCGAAGCACTTTGATTGTTGTATGACTCATGGATGCGTGTGGCTTGCATCGTGTGTCATTGTACCCCATGAAGTAGGAGCATGATTGTGATCAAAATCAGGTCTCTGCTTTGGGTTGCTGTTTCACAAAGAGAGCTCAGTAATTGTTGTGTCACTGGTTGACCCAGTGGGATGCAAGGGGTCTGAACGTTTTGGGTTTTGGCAATCAACACAAAATTATATTAGAAGACATACCTTTCAGATTTGATGTTTTTTTAGTTCTTTTGGATTGATCGATCAGTAAACCAAAGTATTGTCTTGCATAATACATTATGTCATCAAAATTTTTAAGGAAGATAATTTATGGATGTCAACTTCTTTATTATGAAATTCTTCCTTATCCTTGTCTGCTTATGTATATCCTCTCTAAATGCCATTCTTGCTCAAAATTATTATTATTATAATTGTTTCAGGTATAATTCTTTCCCCTGTACTCCCGATGAAACCTGGTCGCAAGGGCTTCCTCCTGGTGCTTGATGGGAAGACATTCAAGGAACTGGCGAGAGCAGAGACGCCCCCTGGTGTCAAGATGCCCCTCTCATTCCACGGGTCGTTCATACCCTGAGGGAAACTTGAACCAAAGATATCACTATGGCATTGACAGCATCACAGTTGGCAGTAATTTCTTAGCTTTACTTCACAATAAGTTGTGGGAATACGTCCCGCTTGTCCAACTGAAAAAGATATTTTGTAAGCATTACTTTGTTGATTTTTATTCATATGGCTTGGTTTTAAATTTTGTTATATTTGCAGTTTTTTTGCATAGTCTAACCACTTACTATACTTGTTGCATTGTTAACAGAATCTCAAGGCTTGTTCATGTAGCCGAAAAGTAGAGAATTGCTGTAAAAACTGGGTGGAGAAATGTTTTGGCAGAACGTAATCGTCAATGGCGATGACGAGAAAGAAAGTTTGATGACGTCATAGGAAGTAGAATTATGATGTTAGTGGCGGAAGATTGTAAGAGGAAGTGATGTGATGGAGGTTAACAGAGAGGTGCATTATGGTTTCAATACCGACTAAACCCATTTAGTTAGAAGCAGTGAATGAAATTATGCTTATTGCATTGTTAACAGAATCTCAAGGCTTGTTAGTGTAGTTGCAGTCACAGACCATATTAGTACATCTTGTTTGCTTCTATTGTACTGCTGTCATAGGGCTGGAATGAGTCCAGTGTTAAACAACAAAGAAACACACCTATATTTAGAGACTGTAGAGGGTTACAGACATATTGATGTCGCTAACATTATGCCTAGTTGTGACTGATGTTCCTGTAGACAAGGCTGGACATATGCTATTTTACTGATACAGATGTATTCACTTTGGATATAATCACTTGTATATAACCAACAAACAGCCACTTTGGATACAGCAAATCTATGTATAACCACTTGGATGTTATGAAGTAACAACCACTTGGATATAACAAATCTATATATAACCACTTGGATATAATGAAGTAACAACCACTTGGATATAACAAATCTATATATAACCACTTGGATATGATGAAATGACAACCACTTGGATATAACAAATCTATATATAACCACTTGGATATAATGAAGTAACAACCACTTGGATATAACAAATCTATATATAACCACTTGGATGTTATGAAGTAACAACCACTTGGATATAACAAATCTATATATAACCACTTGGATATAATGAAGTAACAACCACTTGGATATAACAAATCTATATATAACCACTTGGATGTTATGAAGTAACAACCACTTGGATATAACAAATCTATATATAACCACTTGGATGTTATGAAGTAACAACCACTTGGATATAACAAATCTATATATAACCACTTGGATGTTATGAAGTAACAACCACTTGGATATAACAAATCTATATATAACCACTTGGATGTTATGAAGTAACAACCACTTGGATATAACAAATCTATATATAACCACTTGGATGTTATGAAGTAACAACCACTTGGATATAACAAATCTATATATAACCACTTGGATGTTATGAAGTAACAACCACTTGGATATAACAAATCTATATATAACCACTTGGATTTAATTAAGTAACAACTACTTGGATATAACAAATCTATATATAACCACTTGGATATAATGCAGTAACAACCACTTGGATATAACAAATCTATATATAACCACTTGGATATAATGAAATAACAACTTGGATATAACAAATCTATATATAACCACTTGGATATAATGAAGTAACAACCACTTGGATATAACAAATCTATATATAACCACTTGGATATAATGAAATAACAACCACTTGGATATAACAAATCTATATATAACCACTTGGATATAATGCAGTAAAAGCCACTTGGATACCACTACATATATAACAAGGGTTAACAGATACCTCAGTAAAACCTGCTTAATTTGAAACACTGGTCACATAGAAACATACGCTTCTCAGATATTAAACATGATCAACTCTGTACATTTGCTTGTGTCCTATTTTACTACTTGGTCTAGAATCTCAGAAAAAGAAACGCTGCATGAAAAAATGTTCTATGTTTTTCAAATATAAAAATTATACATTTGAACATTATTAAGGGACTGGTCATCTTTTATAGGGAGGGGTTATGAAAAAATGGTAATGCATTTGAGGGTGGTCAGCAAAATATGATACAGTCCTAAGACTAATCCCCCTACCCCACCCTCCCCTATAATAAATTACAAATCCCTAAATAGCATTAAAAATCACAAAACAATCACTACGTATAGTAAACAGACAGTCATGATAAACATGTACAGATAAAAGTTTATCATCCAAAACTGGCTCCCACAGGAGATATCGCTTGGATGAGATCAAGCGATATCTACACTGTAGATATTGCTGCAATGAAATTACATCACAATGCTTTGCAGACCATTGTGACGTCACTGGTTACCATGACATCACAATCAAATGACATCACTAATGGCTCTGCTACTGAAGCTGTTAGCAGTACTTTTTACACCTAAGACACTGCTAATTACTGTCTACAAATTGAAAAAGTTGGAAGAATGATGTTGGATGATAAATAAAATCTCACCCTCGTGTCTTTTGATATAAACACGAGTTGATATATGTGGCAAAAATCCTCAGCAAGCCTCGGATTTTTTCCACTTTTATCAACTCGTGTTGATATATTTGATATCAAAAGACACTCGGGTGAGAATCTCTATGTATATTGAATCATAAAAGTATGTTTAAAACCCAGACAAATATTGGCTTACAGAACTCTTACATTTGTAGCATACCGGTATGTACATCAAAGTAATTGTAATGAAATTAAATCAAATATTGTTTAATAAAATATGATACAGGGCTATAATCAGTATATACCTATGTATGAAAAGTGTTTAGCAAAGATGCTGACATCTGTAAAGCATATGTTTATCATAAAAACATTTTTTTAACAGAACCTGTGATCCCGTGTGCATTTGCACTTTTTACAATAGAATTGTGATGTCACCGTGTCTGTGTTGTATTGTCCACCTATTGATAATACTGACTTATCTGTTGAACATGTCGATGACGAATACCCGGTAAAATCTGTGGTAAACTTTAAACTCCAGCCTTATCAAAATAATTAGACTATGTCTCATTGAGGGAGGTAAAAAATCAGAGTAGAAGATCTGATTTTGATGAGACTATTATTATAAATATACTGTATATATTTGTTTGCAATTTTGGGGGCACGGGTGGCCCAGTCGTCTAAGGCGCCGCGATTCGCTGTGCAGAGTTGCGTCCCTTGGGCACGCCAGAAACCTATGATTGTGGGTTCGAATCCCGGTTCGCCCAAATTATGTTTCTAGGTTTGTCAGCACCATACCCGTGCTCGTGGGTTTCACCGAAGTGATAAACGTCTGGGACCTGCATCACTTCGGGCTTTCCTCCCACATTAAGCTGACATGCCGCGATATAACTGGAATAATGTTAAAAGCGGCGTTAAACCCAACTCACTCACTCACTCACTTGTTTGCAATTTTAACTGTTATACTATTCATGGCGCTTTTACACCATTTTTAGCAGTTGTTTATTATCAATATCAGTCAACACAAATCCTTTTTGCACACAGCTTACATATTTTGTTTACAAACTATATCAGATTAATATACCAATGACATGGATGTGGGAAAAGCATTATTCATTTACAATATATGTATCTTTTAATGTTGTGAGGATAGAAGCAAAATAATTAGAACTATTAATCTGGAAATTTGCAGTATATGTTTTTGGTTAGAACTAACAATCAAGTTTGTGAATGATATTTGAAAGTATGTTATTTCCTGTTTTGCTGAGATTGTACATTACTCTAGACACGAAAGTGGTCCTTGCCATTCTGTGTGGGTGTATATTTCACTCCATCACGTAATATGCCACAGTTCATACATTTTTGCCCTTACAATCTCTCCTGGCAAGAGGTACCAGTGCGATTATTTTTTTATTAATTTATTGCTTGAGAAATTGCTTGGAAATATTTTCATGTTCTGTAACATTAATCCGTCGTCTTTACATTTCCTTTTCTAAACAAATAATGATATTCTTTATCTTTAAAGTCCTTTATAATAAAATAACAAAATTACAGTTTCCATGTGTTACTCTAGACCTGTACACTCAAAAATTGTCAATGAGTGAAATATAATTGAAAGATGAAGACTATGAAGATGTGCCTGGAGTGCTGGACAGCTTGACATACATAAGTGATGATATCATTTTATGATACTTTGGCAGCATCAAACAAAATATTCCAAAACTGATGAACATCTTCACAATGATGTAGATAGTTTTCCAGTGAACCTCTTTCTTCATACTGGTCACAAGCATCTTCCCGAGGCAAGAGAGTTAACTGACATTAAAAGTCCAGTATCCATCCTTGCCGAACTAGGCTGGAATTACTGGGCTCGATCATAGTGCCATCAGTGGCTATTACAAGTTATGTCCCTACTATGTCCCTCTATTGACCAATCAGATTCCACCTCTCGTATCACTTGCGTTTGCTTCACACAAAATGGTGGCGCCCAGTCAGGACAATCTGATCGATAATCAAGATCTATTATGTGACAAAACGGGTCTTACATCCCGAAATGCATCAAATCACGTGAGCACCTCAATTGAAAACATGAAAAGATTTGGCAAATATCTGCTGACAACGAGATGGTGGTGTTCATGCTTTGCAAATCCTGCAATTGACCAAAATCTGCACGACAGTTTACGAACCGGATTTCGATTTCGGTGGGCGATTTTGATTGGACTTTGCATCAACTCGTTAGTTCAGCCAAAATGCAACTCCATAAGACCAGCCTAGTTCGGCAAGGGTGGAAACTGGACTTTTATAGTCAGTTAACTCTCTTGCCTCGGGAAGATGGGTCACAAGTGGTCACATGGACTTTTGCATTTATCTATTAAAGATATTTATTAAATTTAATTATAATATGGCCGCATATCTTAAATTGTACCTGTTTATATGTGTTGTCTATTGGACATAATTCCTTGCCGTCCATCATCAAGCTGTTAGGCCATAGGGTGTGAATACAGGTAAACCTTCCTTCTTTATGCATACCCTCAATTATCGTTGATCTAGTTTGTGAATACTTGGCTTGTATTACTTATGCATAGCCTCAATTGTCGCTTATCTAGTTCGTGAATACTTGGCTTGTATTACTTATGCATAGCCTCAATTGTCGCTTATCTAGTTCGTGAATACTTGGCTTGTATTACTTATGCATACCCTTAATTGTCGCTGATCTAGTTCGTGAATACTTGACTTGTATAACTTAGATGGTATGTACTTTATTTGGATTCACTGACTCCTATTTTAGTTCTTGTTCATTTTGGATGTTGTGGGTCAATGTAATTATTTTGAAATGTTTTGAATCATATTGCCATGTACATAATACTAAGGGTGAAATAAATGAGAAAGGATATGTTTAAAGTTGTGAACTCTTCCTGTTATGTATTCTGTTGGTGTGTGTCTTGGTATTTACCTTCGATTAAGGACAAGGTGTGACTTTTTAAGTTAAGAAATGAGCAAATCTTTGAGAAAATGTTCTGAAAGTTATCAGATATGTTCATGTGAATGCCAACTTGACTTGTGTAAGTATTTTATCAGCCCGTAAAGATTCGCGGTAGAATGGGTCTTCAGCATCCCATTCTTGCTGTAAGAGGCGACTAAAGGGATCGGGTGGTCAGACTCGCTGACTTGGTTGATGCATGTCATCCAATTGCGGGAATTGATGCTCGTGATATCAATCACTTGATTATTTACAGACCGCTGTCATACAGCTGGAATATTGCTGAGTTCGGGGGTTAAACAACAAATAAACAAACAAACAAAGTGTATTACAACAGTAAATGTATACAAGTAGATGTTAAGCTAACATGTGTCAGAAAGCTAGTTTTAGAGGATTTCAGGAACCAAATTCTAATTATTTGAACATGACCCAAGCTGAGTTACTTAGGAGATGTAGATAGACATGCAGACATATGGTAACAAAAATCATCTTCGGTCAAGGAATTGCTCATACATGCATGCATGCGCTTCGAAGATCAAAGGATGTATAGTGTGAAAAGTTAACTAGTTGAACAATCGCGTATTTCCGGGACTTGCCGCGGATGTTTTCAAACAGATTATTAGAACTCCATTCAGCGATAAACGGTTGATTATGCAATGAGAAGCGTTATGTGCAAATGAACAACGAACAACAATACAATCACGGCTGTGTAAAACTCTCAGTATTAAAAGTGTACATAAATTTTGGGAGCCATGCGTTACCGCGCGTAGTAACCGAGGTAGCGCTTTATCGAAGAGCACAATAGCAAGGGATCACTGTAGTTAGATTTCATCTACTTCTCCTTCTTCTGCTGCTCCCTTCAGACATAGCAGAAGGTGACAGAAATTTGCAAGTGTAAGAAAAGCCATTAGAACATGTCTGATAATTATTAAACATTATTAAAAGATTCTATACCTTTCATATCCAACATTTCCAGTAAGCCTTGTCCGACCTCGTCATTTCTAGACAGGGAGCTTAATAGCCACTGTTGTATCCAGAAAGTCAATAACTTATCTTTTCTTTACACATGTTCATTTTTATGTCTTGTTATTTTCACTTTTGTATAATTATTCAACTTACTGGTGATAAAGTCTTTGAAAGGCATGTAGAAGTGATACACATAAGGAAGAGAATTTGGGGATGTCAACTTCTTTATTATGAGTGAGTGAGTGAGTGAGTGATTCCAGCAATATCACGGCAGGGGACACCACAAATGGGCTTCACACATTGTACCCATGTCAACAATCGAACCCGGCGTGACGAGCGAACGCTTTAACCACTAGGCTCCCCGACCGACCCTGGGATACAAGGAACGATGTACTATTCATTCACACCCAAACCGTTGGACAGAGGCATGCTAAGATAAACCCTACAACAGAAAGGACAAGCTGTTGGT